ATTCCAGTGGTTACCTGAACATCCTTGGAAAGTGGAAAAATGACCTTGAACTATTCTAGTGAAACTTCTTCTTGGGAAAAAAATGGCTWCCCACCCAAGGTTCAACAGCCCAGAGATGAGCCACTTATCTGCCCACGGTTAGCACTCGAAGCTCAGGAGACCTCCTGCCCCAGAGGTCACCATGGAGAACATGTAACCCTCCCCAGGAGCGGGCAGAGCAGATGAAAGCAGAAAGGGCGAGTGGTGCGTGGAGATGGAAGGAAGGCTGGCCGCCGGGCAGCTTTCCCTTGCAGACCACCCCTCCTGGACACCAGGCCTTTCCTGCCTCCGCTCAGCCCTGCCTCTAGCTGGAAGCTCTCCTGCAGCTCCCTGGCCTGCTGATGCCCTGACCAGGCATCTATAAGTACAGGCCATTAAAGGAAATTTTTGAGGGCTGGAGATGTGGCTCAGGGCCTGGGGTCCTAACCCCAGGACCAGGGGGAAAAAAAAATCTTGCAGCATGCCCCTGAATCCTTGGGAAAGAAGACTGGAGTTTCTTAAGCCCCACAGGGATGGCCTTGCTGTCCTGGAGAGAGCACACCTGGCGAAACTCAGCTGCACTCCAGGTGCTCAGGACCGGGAGTGAGGGAAGAACAGTGTGTGGGCTCCAGGGCGGCCTCCTTGGGCCCCTCAGCCTCTCCCAGGCACCTCGAGGCCTGAGTTGAACTAACAAGGCCTGCAGTGACTCGGACCTCTGGAGGCTGGAAAATAAAAATGGTGGTTGCTTGACAGCTGGTAGAATTGAAGCTTTTTCTCTCCTTTCAAAAGTAAACAAATTCTGCACGTGATTTTGGGAGGCTCATGGAGCTCTGAACACATTTATGACCCCTGGGGTCCACAGACGCCAAGACACTCCCCTGTGCCCAGTGCTGAGGGCAAAGGTTTTCACATAGCCTGGGCCTGGTGGGCCACCTGCAAAACTGAGAAAGTGCACTTTTCATTTCCTCTTCCTTCCCCATCCCCTTTTCCCCCTTCCTTAAGAATGAATCCTGTATCCTAATCTCGCTTGTTACCTGGATATACACAGTTGCTGATTGGGCTCAACTTGAAATTGCAGATGGAGCACAGTCAGTTCTGCTTCATTCTGACATGTGTGTTTGTGAAAATCACTGCACTGTACAAACTCACACAACAAAAACCACAGGCTCATGGGGAAAATGAGGTTAGGGCACGGCAATCAGAAACTTTATCAGTGACACTGAGAAAGAAGACAGGAACCTAACCGTTTGGACACGCTCAGTGGTTAAGAGCTGCACACACGCTGCCGTGTGTGCCTAGAGAAAGACCCGTCGTGGCTCACCGAGACGGGGACAGGAGGGCTGCAGTGGGTGAGCCATCGAGAGGCCTTTAAGGAGGCTTCTCTGGGATGGAAAACAGTGGCAGCGATGTGGATGGGTGTGGCTTGTGACACTCAGAGCCTCTGTGGTGACCGGTGCACGTCTGAGGAGTGGGTGTAGCTGGTGTGTTCTCACTTGGCTTGTTCAGCCACCTGAAGCTCTTTGCACCACCTGCACGTAAGAGAACACGACGCTCAAACTCATGCTCAATTCATGCTCAAACTATTCCTTGAGCTTATGCTCAAATTATGCTCAAACTGTTCCTTGAGGCGTTCATCCCATTAGGACGAACTCGCGTTTGAAAAGCAGGTGCTTCAGCAGACTGATGCATCCAGACCATCAACAGTAACAGCCACTAGACACTGGTGACACTGGACGCACAGCAACAGGCTTGATGTTTGTAAGCAGAGAACAGCCTGCCTAGCCTCGGTGACTCAGCTACATCTGTGCCTCCTGGTCCTGATGTGAGGTCCATCTCCACATGGTGACAAGTTCAAAGGATGGGCAAAGTGGGCTAAGGGACCTTGAAACATGCTGCATCCTGACTGAGACACTCAGGGCTTCCTGGACAGCCCCACGCACCAGCCCTGGACAGTACCCATGCACCTGACCCCTGGGTGGTCCCCCCACACACCTGAACGGTCCCCACTAACCCTGACCCCTGGATGGTCCCCACGCACTCTAATCCCTTAAGAGTCCCCATGTACCTAGCCCTAGATAGTCCCACACACCCTGAACCCCAGTAGTCCCCATGCACTCTGACCCCTGGACAGTCCCCATCATTCTGACCCCTAGTGGTTCCCATGTGCCCTGACCCCTGGACACCCTGGACAGTCCCCATGTACCCTGACCCCTGGATAGTCTCCACACACCCTGACCCCCAGTGGTCCCCAGGCACCCTGACCCCTGAAGCCCACAGCATGCTGCAGCCACACTAGTCTGGCTTCCCTCTCCTCTTCACCTGTCCCGGTCCCCTGGCCTGCGCCCTCCAGAGCCCCCATAGAACGCTGCTGGCTGGCTCCTGTCTTCTCCAGGAGTAGCCCCATCCCACAAGCGTCGCCACAGACGGACCACCTCATGGTGCTGAGGGCCGGAGGTCCACGAGGAGCTCTGCAGGGCTGAGTCGGGATGGCAGGCTGGCCCTGCAGAAGCCTGGGGTCTGCCCCTGGCCCTGCAGCTCCCAGAGGCCACGGCCACCTGCTCCTGTTGTCACAGCTCCTCTAGACCTTGACCTTGCCTCCCTCCCTCCTTCCCTCCCTTCCTCCCTCCTTCCCTCCTTCCCTCCCTCCCTCCTTCCCTCCTTCCCTCCCTCCCTCCTTCCCTC